TCTTCTTTGAAAAAAACCCAAATAGCTAGAGTTTAGATATTAAGCATGAAACACCTTCTAGTAAGTGTCTACAAAGTTTGTTCAAATGAAAGCCCTAGGGTCAAAACTGGCCCCGCCCCAGGGTTGTCATTTATTAACTATATGTGTATAGTAAAAACTTAAAAAATCTGCTTTTAAGAAACCCAATGAGCTAGAGCTTAGATGTTTAGCATGAAACATCTTCTTATGGGTGTCTACCAAGTTTGTTAAAAGAAAAGCCCTTGGGTTAAAATTGGCCCTGCCGGGGGGGGGGAGCGCTATATACAGGTTAGCGACTTCAGGGCCATCATTGCCCTCTTGTTTCTCCTTGTTCTTGTTATGTGTCTGAAATGTTTGTCTGTTGCGGCCAGGATTGAAACGTCTGGTCGAAGTAAATTAAATTGAAACACAAAAAAATTGAAATGATTGGTAAACTTAAAATGAATTTAAGATAATATGTGTCGAGAATATGTCCATTTAAATATTGGTGCGAATCGCATAATGTACGTTCGAATGAATTTGAGGACGAACTGTCTCTTATTTTACAAATAGCAAAAATATGTCTGTAATATCAAATAATAGTTATGAATAATATAATCAATTCTTAGTTACTTATTGTTTTCTTATTTATAAAAGATTAAACTACTTGATTAAACTAAAGATTGCATATTCGACTAGAATCTAGGTATAGGACCACTAAATGTAGTAAAAAAATCAAGGTAGACACGGAATTCTTCAAAGTAACCTATTGCAAATATTTGTGATACATTTTAAAATTATTTAATAAACGTACTTTTTTCAATGAGTTAATCTGTTTTATAACTTAAATGTTAATTATTTTCATGAATTACATGTCGAACACGTTTTGCCTGTTTTGCAAAAAATATTTCCGCTGTGTCCGTATCACCAATAAAATCTCCGTTGCGTATTTTAATGATACCTCTTGTTCCCTGCCCGATTTTGGTTCCCGTCATTAGACTAGAACGACTATAGACTGGCTCATTGGCACGTTATTTATTAGGTAGATAAAATTAGATAATTATAAAAAGAATATGATATTCAAACATGAAACTTTCACTTCAGTTAAACGTTTATTTTAATCCCTTAAAGCTATGTGACATGTTGTACATCAGAAAAGCTATTTTTATTAGAAAATTTGAAAACAATGTGATTTTGTTAAAACAAGAAGAAAATGCACAAAATCAAGTCTAAACTTTTCCCAATTGCTATATGAACAAATGCATATCTACTAGACGGCGCGTGCACGACGAAACATGATAAAATGGCTCAAATTTTCTATCCCGGCTCGTGAAAATATGTGGCATTTTATCATGTTTCGTGAAAATATATTCCATATTTCACTCAAACGAATAAATATCCTCTCGATTTTGAAATAGCGTTGTCGAAAGCCTTTCATGGCCGATGACCGATTTGTGTGTGTGTGTGTGTGCGTGCGTGCGTGCGTGCGTGCGTGTGTGTGTGTGTGTGTGTGTGCAAATTTGAGGTGGCCCGAATTTCATTTGAGGCGGTCAGATTGGCCGCTAGCCGCCTCCTAATGAAAATACTGTATATTTTTTGCAATCTGAGCATGATTCTATAGAAAGTGTTACAAAACTGGCATCAGAACAATGAATTTTGTATGAAAATCACATTCATTTTCAGAGTATTCGGAATGCAGCATAATTGCGCTGGTTAGAAAAAGGGTGGTGAAAATGCATCCGTATAATTGCTAATTGTATATGCAACTTCATTTATTAATGCTCCGCGCCCACAGGCGCGGAGCTATTTGTGTTGACTATTTTTTGTCCATGGACCCGATTTTTATCAATTAATCCCTTCGATTTACAGCAAAAAATAAATTCGGAATCAAGAACTCCTTCCGATTTCTATTATGTAAAGTCATATATTGGTTTCCCCTTCGGTGATTCGCAGCATGTCATATTAATGAATGAGAACGGGAACAAATTTCACGCCTCAACCGCTGGGAAAGCAGTTAAAAGACAAAACAAAAAATAAACTTAAATTCGGTGATTTATTTCTTACATGTGTGTCTTCTACGGGAAATTACTTATTATTTTGTAGTACACATGTAGTAGGTTATGTATGTATTTTAGTGCTGTACATGAATTTAAAAGCTATCAATAGCTAGATGACCTTAACATTGTGAAAGTCCGAAAATCTGTTTATAGAAGTAGTTTTAGTCTAAACGAAACGGTCATTCGTGTCGCGCTATGAGAATAAATAACAAACCGGAGAATTTTGCAGCAAATGAAATGCAAACATATTCAACAATAAATTGCACTCTTTAAAAATTTATCAGGCCATTTTTCACGAATTGTTATATCATAGTATTATCATTTTGAAATTGTCTTTTCCGTAGGCTCTTTCCGGTTTATTGCTCTTTTCTTTTTTACGGCCCTGATCAAAGGTGCCCGTCGCGTGACCTGAACCCCCACCCCCCAACCCCACACTACAACCCCCCATATTTTCAAAAATAAAAAAATGATCATCTGAAACCTGTAAAACACTATCCAATATGCATATTACAATCAAATTAATAGTTTCCAACAAAAATATATAATTCTATTGTTAATTAATAAATAGTAATATGCATATTGGATAGTGTTTTACAGGTTTCAGATGATCATTTTTTTATTTTTGAAAATATGGGGGGTTGTAGTGTGGGGTTGGGGGGTGGGGGTCCAGGTCACGCGACGGGCACCTTTGGCCCTGATTGCACTTCTGACATTTTTATAGTGAATCGACCCTGATTTCTCGAAATTGTTTATTCTATTTTGTTTAAAGGCAATCGGTTTTATGGTGGTTTGATTGGAATGTTGATTTGCCGATTACTGTAACATTTTACAGTATATATGTAGTTTGTAGTATGTAGTTTGAACATGAGGTGTAATGGGTTTATAGGAATGTAAACACAGAGGGTTTTGAAGCAATTCAACAAAATAGTAGATTGCTCTCCCAATAAATCGATCAACAATAGCTCTTTATTTATCACCAATGTCAAGTAGCTTTTATATGTTTGACTCACACGAACACATCGATCATAATGTTAGTGAATTTCCTCATACCTGTTTTTAATTCAGGTAAAAGTCACCTGTGAGTAGGAATGGTAAGGTATCTAGCTGTAATGAGCGCATTATTTTGCGCGGAGCTTCTCAATTTCTGCATTGCAGCAACATTTGTACTTGTTAGATATTAGAATACTAAACATTTAATTAAATAGGGTCTCGCATTGTAACATTGTCAGCGATTAACTGAAAAAAGTGCCATCGCGTTCTCACCATCGTACCATCGTGCATCGCGGGTAATAACAAAATAAAAAAAATCACTTTTGTCCAAACGGAACACCGTACACTACATTGCTTTCTGAAGAAAATTAAATATTTCACGAGTCATTATGATATTTTTTACTTAGATATTTGCATTTATAAAAAGTGTATGTCAGTCCTGTGATCAGCAAATGGGGTGGGGGGTAATTCTCTTTGAAGTAAATTTGCAAAAAATCTGGTAAGCTATCCCAGGAACATAGGTAACAGGAACATTTTTATGTGTCAGGCATTTCATTCTGTCAGGAAAAAAATCAATTTTAAGGTAGGATTAGCGACCATTTCTTATAATGTAAGTCTATGAGATATTTAATGTGAGTGTCTGAGCACATGCTAATGCAAATTCAAAAAATGAATTGCTAATCGTATTTTATTGTTTTGCACTCCGTTGCGCCCGTTGTGCCAAAAAAATCCATTCCATTACGTATTTTAGTGGTACCGCTGACCAAATAGAAGGGGGCGCACGAATGCCAGACATTTCACTCCCCAGACATTTCATTATTGATACGTTTCACTCCCAAGACGGTTCACACCTGGTTCACTCCCAATTTGTAATTGTATGGACGTTTCACTCCAATTTTTTTAAAAAATGTTTATAATAATTTAGGAAAGTTAACAAATGTTTGGGTTTTTTTTCATTTAATATTTAGGGGAAATTAAATTTTATGTTTGATTTTATTGATATTGAGGGTATTGTTAATAAGAATTTATGAATTTGAAGAAAAAAATATGAAATGTTACAGAATGTGTAAATAATATAATTTAAAAAGTATAGTATCTGTTCAGAAAAGTTAATTTGTTCTGTTCAAACAATGTTTTGAATTATTTATGTTATTAGGAGTGAATATATTGGTTTCAATGAGGACATATGATAAATTATTATAAGATTACTCATTTAATTATGAGTTGAATGATATGAGAGGTTTAAATGAAAGACACATTTCTAAAATTTTATTTTTTAACGATATGAGAAAATTCTATTTATAATAGATTAAAAAAAGATAAAAGACATGAAAATTTATTAAATATATTTATTATTTTTTTGTAAGTCTAAAACTATGAAATGCAAAAAATGTGTATAAAATCAATTATTCTTTTAAAATATTTCTTTATCAATTTATCAAACAGTTGCCATTAAGCAAACTTATGTAATTGTGGTGTTAAAAGTAATTATATTAGACGATCCAATCAAGCACAAAAAAAACTAAATAAACTTTAACAATTATGATATACAAACTTAAAGTACTGAGAAAAGTAAAATCCCCTTTAAGTTTTTAATCTATTTTTATTAAATTTAAGGTATATTTTAGTATATCACAAGTACAGAATAATTTTGCCATAAAAAAGGAGTGAAACGTCTTCAAGACATTTAACTCCCATTTGGGAGTGAAACTTTTTGGTGTGAACCGTCACAATAGTGAAACGTCTGTCTTCCGAGGCACATCACCTCTCGCACCCCCATGATGTACATTTTTCATGGGATCCGCACCGAAAAAGTGATCACTTTTTTTTGGACAAAAACAGTCTTTGGGGTTTAAATAGGGCATTTTTTCACTATTTGGTGCCTCAAAAAAGGGGGATAAAAAGCCGTCAAAACACGCTTATATAAGGTAAAAAAAAAATTAAAAAATCGTTTGTAGTGGCTGGCCTTTTAAGTGAAAAATATGACATAAGTTTATCACACTTTTCACCGTATCAGCCTAGATACGCGACGCATCTTTAACTGTTCAAAAAGAGGAAAAGGTATAGATTTTGTATTTGAGTTGTATTGTATCTGTTCATGTACGTAGAAGGACCATCTATGATAATCAAGTTCTACCTGGAGGAGCCTCAGAAAGGATCTGGGAGGGACTTTTTAAAGACCTCGACCGTCTGTCCACGCACATCAATTTTCCAGATTTTTTTTTTATTTTTTGTAACAACATAGATCACAGATCTAGAAAAAAAACCAACAGTTTAACAAGTTAAAGTATCATTTCATATAAGTAATAAATCAAATTAAGACTGAAATCAGATAAAGTATTGGATAAAATTTAGAAAAATCACAGTTCATAGATTATGACTAAAACTAAAACTAGTAAAAGTCAGAGAATAACGAGACAAAATATTTTTAAAAGGAAGTGGCTAGCCATATGGGCATGTAGGACCTACGGCTAGCCAAAAGTTCTAGCCTTACCCGAGTCACAACATATATCCCTGTTTCTCGTATTCTCGGGGTTTCTCGTATTCTCGTGGAATCATTAAAACGGATGGAAGCGACGCTCGCGACTTCCGTCGATATCCGAAAACATGTCTATTTAGCAGAGCATTTCATCTCCATTAAAAAAATAAAAGAAATGCGGCAAAAACCGATAAAAAAACAAAAAAACTGTGGAAATAATAGAAAAATCCAGAAAATTTAATTAAATTTATCAATTTCCCCCCAAAAATCATCAGTTTTCTAGTTTTTTCCATGTTGCAGAAACCTGTAGCGGGTCTCTGACGCAAGACGCTTCAAATGACAGTCTCACACTACTATTTATACAATACAGCTCAAAATATTTGTTCCACGAATAGATAATATAAAAAAGATATGAACTCCAATTAAAAACCAATAATGAAACATTGTTTGTCCTAAACACATTTCATTTTTGACAACTGCAACGGAAAACAGTAGTATTCATTGTTAAATGCTCATATAACTAATAAGTAACTAATAAATAAACGTAAACTTAATATATATTAGAGAGATTATGTAAATAACAACACTAAATGGAGTTCAAACTATTTTTGGAACAATCAAAATCATTTGGTACCAAAGAGGCGTCAATATGATCCTTAAAGTTTGATGTGGCCTGCCAAGCTGTTATTAAAACACAATAAAATTACAGATTTAGGCCATTTAACACTTAATTAGGTGTGGCACTAATGATTTGAACTGGTATGTAGAATAAAATCATCACATAGCGACCAGCCTTAACAACCAATCAAATTCCACGAGAATACGAGAAAGCACCTGCTTCACATAGAGGGTGAAGGTCAGTATATACAAGCAGAAATATCTTTAGTTTTGCTTACAGTTACGATCTTTCTTTCTTTGTATTTTGTTAATAAGGTATATCTCTCTGTATCAGGCTAAAAATACTGTAACAAAATGTTTTATTAATATTATGCAACCAAGTTTAGTCCTTAACCCCCCGAGAATACGAGAAAACAGGATACTCAACATCACTAATTCCGCGTCCTCACTTATTTCACTGTAATGGCATATTTTTATGTAACCAGTGTTAAAATTGGTCAGTCTCAATTGACTTATTTTATTCCAACACCTAAACAACAAAGTTTTTGTGCAAAATATTTAAAATCTCTAGATTTTTATGTAAAACAGAACAACATTTTACAAAATTCTGCTAAAAGCAACAATAGTATGTTCAATTTGTGCATACTGGTCGGAGAGATAACTCCGACGCATAGATAACCCCGACACTTGATAAATATAATTGTTATAACTTTGTTTTTCAACAAACAAGCACATGGTCACCTAAAAGTATAGCAGGCCTCTCCACAGGCGCATTTAGCGCTGCGCTCCCGCTGTGCCTTAATCTCCAAATCAATCTCAACGTTGTGCCATAAAAGTCACCTCGGCACTTGATTTTTCTGATCCCTATCTCAATAAACACAGCAGTCGTCAATCAGCACGTGATAATGGATTAATAGGTTGTTTATAGGGTGCAATTAATAAATTATTAATTGCACAATATAAACAACCTGTTGTATTCACGTGCGCAAGTCCGTCGGTCCTCGGTCCTGGCTGAATAAAAATTATGAAGTCTGAGATAAATTTGTTAAGGTCGAATAAAATTTCAAGAAGCTAAATATATCATTGATTTGTTTGATAATAAACTCCCAGTGACAAAAGAAATTTGTTAAAGAATCTGTCAGTTACTTAGGGCGAGTGATCAGCAACGGTAAATTTTGCCGTAAATTACAAATTTTAAAATTTTGTTTTACGATGCCTCTTGAAATATTTCATGAAAAATAATCTTGAAATAATCAAAAAATATTTAATCTAATATAATCAAAACCAACAACAACTAGAATTGTTCATGTTTTTTGCAGTAAACAGACAAACTTTCATTTGTCCCATATTTTCGCGATGTCAGGTTTTTATAATTTAAATAAAGTAACCAAAATAAAGCTATGTTTTGTTAAAATGTGTGTAATAACACTTATTAACTACCCCCTCCCACACCCACCTCCATTTCTTCAAAAAATTGCCTCTGTGCCTGCAAAATTTCCTGGGGAAAGACCTGTATAGGAGCAGGACAGAATGGATGATTTTTTAGCTCGACTATTCGATAAGAATAAGTAGAGCTATTGCAGTCACCCGAGCGTCTGCGTCGGCGTAACCACTTGTGTTAAAGTTTTTGTAATAGTTCAAATATTTTCAAAGTCCATTGACATATGGCTTTGAAACTTTGCACACTTGTTCACCATCATGACCCCAACCTGTAGACAGGAGGAGGTAACTCTATCAAGCATTTTGACAGAATTATGCTCCTTTTTAGCTCGACTATTCGATAAGAATCAAAGTAGAGCTATTGCACTTGTCACCCGAGCGTGACCGGCGTCGGCGTAACCACTTATGTTAAAGCCCTTTTTGACTTAATTTACGTTAGTTCAAATATTTTCAAAGTCCATAGACATATGGCTTTGAAACTTTGCACACTTGTTCACCATCATAACCCCAACCTGTAGACAGGAGGAGGTAACTCTATCAAGCATTTTGACAGAATTATGCCCCTTTTTTCGACTTAGAATTTACGTTAAAGTTTTTGTAATATTTGAAATATTTTCAAAGTCCATTGACATATGGCTTTGAAACTTTGCACACTTGTTCACCATCATGACCCCAACCTGTAGACAAGAGGAGGTAACTCTATCAAGCATTTTGACAGAATTATGCCCCTTTTTCGACTTAGAATTTACGTTAAAGTTTTTGTAATAGTTCAAATATTTTCAAAGTCCATTGACATATGGCTTTGAAACTTTGCACACTTGTTCACCATCATGACCCCAACCTGTAAACAGGAGGAGGTAACTGTATCAAGCATTTTTTTTACTATCAAGCACTAAGAATAGTCGAGCGTTGCTGTCCTACCGACAGCTCTTGTTTTTTACTATCAAGCACTAAGAATAGTCGAGCATTGCTGTCCTACCGACAGCTCTTGTTTATAATTTGGTAAACTTTTTAATGTTTTTCAAATAACCTAAATTTTTCGTAGGCAAAACTGCTTCAAAACGTTTTTTTTACGAAATTACAATTAGGTAGTTAGAATTGTATTGACCACAGGTCAATGACTTGGGAAGGATTTTTGAAAAACTGTTTAAATAATCACAAAACATAGATAAAACATATAAGATGTAAAAATAAATAATTGATGCAGATTTTCCAGTCATTTTTTACTTAAAAAATTAAGTGTCGACTTTATCTACTGTTGTGGGGTTAAAAGACCATCATGGTCTGACCATGTTTTGTATTATAACCTCATTCAGGACCTTAAAGAAGTACCAGATTCCATTTTCATACATAACTTTTGTAGTGTAATGTAAAGTCTTTGAACTGAACTTTGTTTAGGTGGTTCAATATTTAAAACATACAGGAAGATAATTAAGATATTTCAAAAAATATGTGATTTAGTGTCAGAGTTATACGTCTGAAACAATTATCATTTTCTAAATGTTTTTGTTTGTTGAAAAAATAAATTTTGAGTTACAATGTAAAGATACTTTTAATAATGCAAAATAACATGTAGAAATTTTAACTGAAACATGAAAAAACTGAAATAAAACACCATTACCGCGATTTAAATGATGATATACTGTTTTCAAAATGGCCGACATATGGTCTACGTCTGGCTCATTTAAACTGATTTTGACTAAATTTATTGTTGTTTCCTTGTGTCATACAGCAGAAAATACCTATATGTTACAGCTTATGACAATTTTTGTACCATAAATTTTATGTGTTGTTTTCTTTCTTGCTTCAAAGTGTTAAGTACCGTGAACTAAGAGGAGCACAGTATACTTAGATAAACAAATGGCCTCCAAAGCCAATACAATGCGAGAAATCTGATTGGCTAATTCAAATGCAAGCATTTAATTGAGTCAGAAAATTGTAACAGAATATTATTTAACGAAATAATTGCCCATGCACTGTCTGTGTTTGAATATATTTTTCCGTTCAAAAATTTGGAATCATTCTGTAAAGCGCCTTACTTAGCAAGTAAGGCCGATAGACAAAAATAGATTGTTGTTTATATTTTATTTTAAATTGATAAGAACATTATTTGAGAGTTTTTGTTGATGATTGAGCATGAAATTGAAAGAAAAGAACATAAGCTTTTAACCCATTACTTCATGAGCATTTTGTGAAAAATGGCTGTTTTCATTGGAAAGTCTCCCGTTACAAGTTCAAATTGCTATAATACTATAAAAACTGCTTCAATACTAATCAAACTTGGCTCAAATGTTGACTGGACCATTGTCTTTGCAACAACATACTCAGGCTTAAATTTTCTGTTACCATGGCAACAAGGGGACATCTCAAAATTGCCAAAAATCACTATTTTGCGTTGATTTTTTCCATCAAAATTGATTTCAAAGTGCTGCAACTTCTCAACGGATTAAGATAGAGTCAAATGCTTTTCAGCGTTGGTTACACGTTACTTTATGATCAATCTGGGGTCATTTTTAGCCTTTCA